GCCTGCTCACCCCCAACTGGCCCCCACTGCCGGCCTGCTCACCCCCAACTGCCCTCCCCTCCTGGCCTGATAGTCCCTAACCGCCTCTTCCTCAGCCCCACCACCATGGCTTTGTCTGGAAGGATGTCCGGAAGGTCTCCTGGAAGGTCTCCTGTCTAATTAGCATATTACCCTTTTATTAGTATAGAATTCCACAATTTAGGTTTTGTTTTTCTCATGCTTAGTTCGAGTTTATGCAGATTTGGCAAAAATGTCATAAAAATGATTTTGTGCTTTTTTTGTTTTATGATATCAAGGGTGTATGATATTGATGTTTTCAGACTGGTGATGTTAACTTTGATCACTTAGTTAGGGTAGTTTCTGCCAGATTTCTTCATTGTAATGTTACTGTTTTCCCCTTTGTAGTTAATAAGAATCTTGTAGGAAGAACCTTTGAGATTATGTAAATATCATAGTCATCATAGTAATATTAGCACTGACTCATGATTCTTGCCTGTAGTGTTTACTTCTGTGGTGTTTGTCTAAAGTTGATTTTCTATTTCCATCATTTCCCCCTATTTTTATTAATTGGTCTACTCTAAGGAATTTCTGTTCCCTCTTCTCTGTTAATTATTTTTAACAGTATGAGCTCATGGATATCCATGTAAATCAATGGGTTATAATCTACTAACCTCATTTATTTTATTGCTCAAATTGTCCCACATGTGTCTATTGGAAGATCCTTTTAATTGGCTCTCATGTTCTTTCCAAATGCCCCCATCATTTTTGGAGCATTTCCATACTTTTTGGCATCATAAGATATTCCAGGCTCCTACTGTGTTTTCCTTACCCCGGAATTTGGATCAATTATTTCTCCTTGGAGCCTTTGTTCTTTTTTATTGGAGGATGCTATTTAGAAATCAATATTTAAAAACTAAGTTTGCTATTGCTACTGAGTATCATTACTTCTACTGTCTGTCAGTTCACAGAGCTAGGAGATATATCTATGTTAACACATACATACATAGACATCTATACTTTTTTCTGCATTTCTTTCTATTTGTCTTTCTGTATGTCTATAATCATGACCTCATTCTGATACCTTAATTCCAATTCAGCACCACAAGATTCATTCTCTTCTTCCCCCTTCCTTATTTTCACTTCTTTCTCCCACATCAGAAACCTGTCTCTCATCATCTACAATATATTGATTTCTTTAATCTTAGTATACACATGCAGTAGTCCTAAAATTGCTAACCCATACCTTTGTGACCATATAATTTTTCATCTAAATTAGGACACTTTTGAGAGAGAAAGGGGCATTTTTAATTATTATTCAAGGACAACAAGTGTGAACATAGAGTGTTTCCCAGGGTAACTGAGAGGTATAGCTCCCTACATATGGTACATGACATACTAATTTTTTATTATTATAGTTTATTTTTATCCCATCTCTTTTCTAGAGTCATAAATTTTCTCTAGAATGATCTAGAAATCACTCCTGACAGCTTAACATGTCAAATATTAAGCTGTTAAAATGGTGAACATTTAGTGATGTATTTATTTACTAGAAAACATTTCTGTGATCATAATAGACTGATGGTGGTGAAAATACTGAGTTCTACTGAGATGGAACAGGACAGCATTGCTGTTCCCTGCTTTGTTTGGGTCATTCCTATGAGTTAGAATTGGAATTTCTCGGGTTTCCCTTGAGAGGATTTTATTGCATTTAGTACTTCAGAATTGTAAGGTTTTTTGTTTTGTTTTTTTAAAATATATTTTATTGATTTTTCACAGAGAGGAAGGGAGAGGGATAGAGAGTTAGAAACATCGATGAGAGAGAAACATCGATCAGCTGCCTCCTGCACACCTCCTACTGGGGATGTGCCCGCAACCAAGGTACATGCCCCTGGCCGGAATCGAACCTGGGACCTTTCAGTTCGCAGGCCGACTCTCTATCCACTGAGCCAAACCGGTCAGGGCAGAATTGTAAGTCTTAAAAAGAATGTCAGCCAAAGAAATACTCATTTGAGATACTTGTCTGGTAGTTAATAACATTTCCCTGTTCAGGTGGACACACGTTTGCAAAATGGATTTGCTCCTGGGATGAAACTGGAGGTGATTGTGAAAAAAGATCCTGAAATCTACTGGGTTGCCACCATCATTACCACCTGTGAGCAACTGCTCCTCCTCCGCTACGATGGCTATGGAGAGGACCGGAGAGCGGACTTCTGGTGTGACATCAGGAAGGCTGACCTTTACCCCATTGGGTGGTGTGAGCAGAATAAGAAGACTCTCGAAGCCCCGGAAGGTAATAAAATACTTCCTATCATGACATAATAGGATATTGCTGTAGGAAATCTCGTCCATAATCTTTTTAAAAAATATGTATTTTATTGATTTCAGAGAGGAAGGGAGAGGGAGAGAGAGACAGAAACATCAGTGATGACAGAGAATCATTGATTGGCTGCCTTTTGCATGCCCCACACTGGGGATTGAGCCCACAACCTGGGCACTTGCCCCTACCAGGAATTGAACCATGAGCTTCTGGTTCATAGGTTGACGCTCAACCACCGAGTCACGCTGGCCGAGCATCTTGTCCATAACCTTGAGGCTTTCAGTCTCCCATACACATAGGTTTTTCTAACTTTTTTTGGTTTAACATTTTGAAGGAAATATTTATAAAGGATAATGCACATTCTCTTATCTTTTAAAATTATTTTCTGTGCTCCATAAAGCCTCATGTTTTTGTGACACTCATAGGGAGCGTCACTTATTGTTCTGTAAGACTATGAGGCTCTCTGAGTTTGAGGATGTCTTTAGGTGCATTGGGCCAGATTGATTCTCTTTTATGACTTGATTGTCCTCTCTCCTCTCACCCACAAGTGATCTGAGACCTATGAACTAACTGAGGCTTTCTTCCACATAAAAGCCTACTGGGAGTAGAATCCAAATTTAGTAAGACAAAGACAGAAGGACAAAAGAGAGAGGAGTCATATAAAAATGGAGAAAGGGAGGAGAGACTGCAGATTTATGAAAATACCAGACCTTAATATGTTTTTCTTTCAACCTCTTATGCTGAAGGATGTAACTCCACTTATGAAATACGAGAGGCCTAGTGCACGATTCGTGCACGGGTGGGGTCCACTTGGCCTGGCCCCAATCGGGGCGGATCTGGGCTGGGCCTGTCGTGGGGGGAGGAGACGGTGGGAGGTTAGGTAGCCGGCCCGCCCCGATCAGGGCTGGGCTGGCTGGGAGGAGGGGCCAAGCAATTGGCCCATCCCACCACGGTCCCACTCTCGTCGGGGCCCATCGGGGCCAGCAGCGCCTCCACTGCTGCCCGCTGCCAGCACCGTGTCACTGACGCCTGCCATGTTCCGAGCCACCCCCTGGTGGTCAGGGCACATCATAGCGAGCTGTCGAACTCCTGGTCCCCCGATCGAATTCCCAGAGGGGACAATTTGCCAACCTGAAGAGATTCCCTCTGGGTAAAGAGAAGACAGTTGAGCATCAATGGTATAAGAGCTGCAATGGCCTGAAACATATCATATGTGACTTAGTCTATAATTTTATAATGGAACTTTTAAACAAAATTCTCATTGATCACTTTTGGATGATGGAAATATGCTGATAATTTTGAAGGCTGGTAAATATAGGGGAAGTATAAAGACAATTAAGCATATATCCTGCCTTCTTTTTGTGAACTTTAATACATACATACATAGTCATCTATATCCATGGCAGCGATTTTCAACCGGTGTTCCACAAGAATTGTTAAAACATGCAACACCTGACTATTTAGTCAGGGGCACTGACCTCTTGTCCCTTAGATTGCCAAATTTAAAAATAACTGCCAATACAACAGTAGCCATCTGGTGTGAATAAATAAAAATGATACCTATTTTTGTCAGGTCAGCAAAAAATACAGAATTCTGTGCCACAGAATTTTAATAATTAGTTTATGTGTGCCATGAGATGAAAAAGTTACCTTCTGGTAATCACACAGTTGAAGGGGAGAATTTTTTCTTTATAGAAGTAGCATATTGCTTAGTAAGCGAAGGAGGGGTGATAGAAAATTACCGTTTGTAGCCCCCAATGAATGAATGTATCTGTGTAGTGACTATTAAAAACCACTGACATCACAAAAGGAGAGACAAACAGACTGAATATGCCTCTTGCTGGAAGGATGTAACTCCACTTATGAAATATGAGAGGCCTAGTGCACGATTCGTGCACGGGTGGGGTCCACCCAGCCTGGCCCCAATCGGGGCAGATCTGGGCTGGGCCTGTCGAGAGTAGCTAGCCGGCCCGCCCCGATCAGGGCTGGGCTGGCTGGGGGGAGGGGCCAAGGGCAATTGGCCGTCGGGCCCCGCCCCCAATTGGGGGGTGGGGCTGATTGGGGGTGGGGCCGGATGTGGGGAGGGGCTGTGAGCAGTGGGCCGATTGGGGGCCAGTGGCCTGGGGGAGGGGCCATGGGTGGTTGGCCGGCCAGATTGGGCCGTTCACTGACCTCAGTGAGCGTCATAGTGACTGGTCGTTCTGGTTGTTATGGTGTTCCGGTTGCTGGCTTTTTATATATATAGATTCTTGCTCCCTTTCCTCCAAGAGTCAAATCTAAATTTGATCAAGCCTACCAGTTTTATAGAAAATATAGAGATCAGTAGAACAACAACTGGTTACCACAAGGAGGCAACCAGGAAAAGCAGATTCAGAAAAACTTTGTATAGCATAAAAGGCTGAGTCAAGAAATATGTGGCAAGATAAACAGAGAGACCGAGGGTTGCAGGGGAGGAGAAGGAACATACAGATTAAAAGAGATTCAGGTGATACATCAACCATTTGTAACATAGATCTCATTTGGATCCTGATTTGACTGAGCAAATTGAAAAAATCATTTTTGAGACATTTCAGAAAATTTGAACATGGGCTATATATATTTGATGTTAAGGAATTACTGCTAATTGTTTAAGGGGTGGTTATATAAAAAGTTCTTTTCTTTTGTAAATATATACTGAGATTATATTGGATGAAATTATATAATACTAGAGGCCCGGTGCACAAAAATTCACTGGCTGGGGAGGGGGGTCCCTCTGCCCGGCCTGTGCCCTCTTGCAGTCTGGGACCCCTCGGGGGATGACCACCTGCTGGCTTAGGCCTGCTCCCCGGGGGATTGGGCCTAAGATGGCAATCAGACATCCCTCTGGCAGCCCGGCAGCCCTCGGGGGATGTCCACTTGCCAGCGGGGAGCAGGCCTAAACTGCAGTCGGACATCCTTAGCGCTGCTGAGGAGGCAGGAGAGGCTC